AACCTGTCCACCATGGGTGACCCTGCTGGTATTTAAAATACCGATGGCATAGCTTTCAGAATCACAGCAACTCATAAGCCACCACAGTATGACAAACTCACCGACTAGTGGTGGCAGAATTTTAGTTGCCACTTTTATATCAATGTCTCCTTTAATACCTGTATTCCACACAATGCCTCTCTCCATCACCATTTTAAAAAAGAAACAACTAAGTCCAGCAGAGTGAGGTGATGTTTTTAAATTCTCAGAGCTAGCAATGAAAAAGGTCATACTGAACTTCATTTGTTCATTCCATGCCTCATGTTTTTCTGCTTTGCCTGGAACACATTTATCTCCCAAGTACCTACATATTCTGTACCAAGGAGTCTTGTCTTGAGGGATTATTTATACGATGACCTACTGAGTAAATGTCAAAGATGAGCATGGAACTAACAGGGTTCTGGTGTCTCAACAGAGCACTTGGGCCAAATGCTGCAATGAGCGCTGTGGATTCCTTCTGCCTACTCCAATATTTTGGGTCCCTGTTCTGCTTAGAATCTATAGAAGATGTAGTTTGGGTTTTAAATTAATAAAGGGAGATTCTGGTGTCAAAGAGAATGCCTCAGCTAAAGAGAACCTGTGACTGACTCAACAGATTCCAGTTCCCAGGAACTAACTGGCTTATATGGTATAAAGAGGAATGGCCCTAGGACCAAGGAGTCATCCTTGGTGAAGAAAGTCCTGAGCTTTAACCTCCAGCCTGAGCACTAGGATCGAGTCCAGCAGATTCACAGCAGAGAATAAGCCATTTACTGAGAGCAGCAGAGAATAACCAAATCCCAGGTGAGTTTGTTTTTTTAAACAAAAATAATTTTTAAAAAACTGTGATAAGTATATTAAGGATAAGTTGAAAAGTATTACTACAAAATAATAGAAACCTTTATTAAACAAAAGTATCAAAATGGGAAGCTATTATTTCTCAACCTATACTCCATCTAGGCCTATACACTTCTGAGGGTGGTGTTTCGTCTCTCCAACCATTACTTCCTCAAAGAATTCTGTCCTCTTCTACTTACACCACATGAAAGCAGTACTATTAGCATCCGCAAGGGAAGAAAAACTAGGTTCCTTTGAGTTTTGGAAGCTTTAAGAAGTCTGAAGGCATAAGAAAAAGGTTGTGAGATACATAAATTTTCCCAAGAAAACTTCTCACTGTCCTCAAAGAGTGAGTAAGTACATTGTTGTGATGAAAATAAACTCCTAGGTACAACATTCCTGAATTTTTTCTTACAAATGCAGTGTCCTTAAAACTTCTTTAGAATCAGCTGCCATTAGGGTACTGTGTCCTTTGAGAAACTCTATTAAAATAAAGTCTTTGGAATCCCCAAACACATTCACTGTACACAATCTTCTGAGCGGACCTCCCGCCATGCGTTCAACTGGCTTAGTAGAGATCCCCTTGGTAGCCATTGTTCTGACTGGACTTGACTCGCTATTTGAATTGGTAAATCCTAGACTCATCCCTGGTTATGACTAAAGCTAATGAAGATGAATTTTTAGAACTAATGTTGCTTAAAAGACTGATGGAAAGATCAGTTCTTGGAGCTAGCTAAAATTCACACGACACTTTTGGCACTAACCATTGGCCCAAAAGCTTGCTGAGGCCGAATTAATTCACTGAAGATTGAAAATACTGAACACCTTGTGAGATTCCCAGCTTCAGTAGCATAGTGCATCAGGGGCGATTCTACCTACCGTCTTCTTCCACCAGTTTCTGGACTTCAGCCACAGTATCTTCATTCACTAAGGGGGACTATCTTTCCTCTCTTGGCTCATTTTTGAGTCTTCCTAACCTTCCTTAAAATACTTACCTGTTGAAAAACTTTTTTTATGGGGCAACATTCCTATAAACTTGTTGCAAAGTTTGGGAAAATATCCACCTGAATTTTGTGACTATTTTGAATAGGCCTGACCCAAACTGTTTTTCTTCCCATGTCACAGAAAGTGTCATTTTGAAGGCACCCTAACAAGATCAAGACAAGTGTGTAACTGAGAACTGCCTGCAGCTACCCACTGTTCTGTTGGTAGTAAACACGTGCATGTATAAACTGGAATCCTAGGAGCAACTTTTTCAGACTTACACTCACACTTTGTCTCTGTGGATTTGCCATATAACATATATAACTAAAATTATATAATGTGTCCTCTTTTGTGACTGGTCTATTTCACAGGGCATATTTTCGTAGTTCATAGACGATGGGGCATGTATCGGTAATTGATTCTTTTTTAATGTGGAATAATATTCCATTGTATTGAGATACTATATTTTATTTATCCATTCATTAGTTACATGATACCCCACTGTTCCTATATTTTGGCTACTATGGATTATACTACTACGAACATTTGTGTTTTTTATTCTCTGGATATATAGCTTGGAGTATAATTGTTGGGTCACATGACACCTGTATTTAACATTCTGAAGAACCACCAAACTGTTTACCAAAGCTGCTGCACCATTTTACACTCTTACCAGAAGTATGTGGAGGTTACAGTTGCTCACCAACGTTGCCAATCTTTGTGTGTGTGTGTGGATTTGATTTACATTGGTGCTATAGGATAAATGGTGGACTGCTATCCACCAAGCCGGTGGTTCAAACCCACTATGGGTCGGAATCAATTTGATGGCACTTAACAACAACAATGACTAATGACGGGAGAAAGATGAGAGAGGCTGTCAGTCTCAGAAGTACTAATGAGTAGTTCTACGCTGACCTCTAGAGTTGCTGAGTCAGAACGGACTCAAAGGCAATGGGTATAATGACTGATGACGTGTGCTCATGGGCCACACAGAAAATATTTACAGAAATGTGTTTTCATATACTTTGCCCATTTTCTCCTAAATTTTATTTGTTTTGTTGTTGAGAATATACACAGCAAAACACAGCAAAACTCAACAGTTGGTACGTGTACAATTTAAGTGACATAGATTAAATTGTTTGTAAGGAATCTTGGTGTGGTGCTGGAGGGTAATGCACTGGACCTCAAGGTCAGCAGTTCAAACCCACCTGCTGCTCCTCAAAAACCTTACACAGGGTCGCTATGAGTCAGAACCGACTCAACAGCGTTTGACAACAACAAGGTATGTGCTGGCAAATTTTTTCATTAAAGAACTGTGTTTTATCAGAAATGCAAAAGCTTCCTCCAAAATACTTTAGGAAAACTTCTTGTTGCATGACATTAACCGTAACAAATTTGTTAGCAAGTAACAAGGTTTGAAGGACCTATTGATTTTTAAGGCAATCAGCACTGCCTAGTTTCTTTATTATCAGTGTGAATGTCTTCAAGATTTAATACATATGCTCTTTCAGCAATCATTTTCATTTGAGGATATTTCTGTGGATTTCACATGGGAGGAGTGGCAGCTACTGAACTCTGCTCAAAAAAATTTATACAGAAATGTGATGCTGGAGAACTTCAACAGCCTTGTGTCATTGGGTAAGGAGAGCTTCCTGCTGGCTTAGACTCTGACCAATCATTGTTCTTTCCAACTCATCTGGTAAAGAGTGTAGGACCTTATGAGTGTTTAAGGCTTTAAGAATCCACAAACTCTCAGTCCTTTTGATAGACCACGACCTCTCAAGTGTAACTGTCATTATTCTTTAGAAACCTAAATCCCAGAGGAGTGGGCTCAGGTCACTGTCATAGCCCATGAACACGGTTTTATGTTGATGTGATCAAACAGCCATGGATAACAGATGGAGATATCCTCTAGTCAGAACTTTGCCTGAGTGTGATTGAAAAACCTGTCTGACATAATGCAGTGGAAATTAAATACCAATTTCCAGTAGATAGTGAAAGGTTGGTGCCTGTAAGTTTAGAGAACACTCCTTGACGTCAGTAAGCCTCTGTAAGTGACTCAGGACTGCTAACACAACCTTCTCAGACACATAGTCATCATACTGTATACCATTTATTCATATTAGAGCAATATGGCCTTCTCTGCTTTGATTGTAAATCCAGTTGTGCCCCCTTCTCTGCACTCAAAGTCAAACCATGCCTTTGAGTAATAGGGTTAGTTTCTTATGCACACAAGGATTCACTCTTTCCTTTCACTTTTCTAACGCCCTCATTTTCTTGCCTTCCATTTAAAAATGTCTCCTATTACTATTTTATACCCACATCATTTTTCCTATTCTTTCTTTGATTCCCTTTATGAGTGCCCACTCGGATGCCTGGAACCAAAGTGACGACTTTAAAGTCACCCTTCCCTGACTTCTAATGCAGCATTTGGTTGCCTGTGGTAGTACTGACTGTGCACAAATGAAACCTTATCTTTGCTTCTAACAGCTTTTCTATCTTGGCCTCTAACCATTTATTCAGTCCAGGTCATGTTCATGCTTTTTTCACCTGACTGACTACTGGTTTCCTATCCCAAGTCATATGACAGCACTTTAATTTTAATTCTCACTTCCTTATATGTGAAGACTTCCATTTAGTGCTGATAAGGTGTAGCAGTGGTTCTGTGGTAGACTCCTCCTTCCTGACCAGTGTACGTCACACATAACCGCCACCACCTGGCACCACAGCAGGACTCCATGTGTCACTGAAGGATCACATGTTGCCATGATGCTGGAAGGTTCCAGCAGATTCCAAACGACAGCTGAGTAGGCAGAAAGGCCTGTCAGTGTACCTTGGAAAACCAGACAACGAAACCCTGTGTATCACAACAGTCCAGTTAGCAACTGAGTACGGAGTGGTTTCAGTACTGGGCAGTGTTCTGTTCTGTTCTGTCATGCATGGATGGGGTTGCCATGAGTTGGGGGCCAACTTTACAGCAGCTAACAACAACAGTTAATAAACACAATTTCTGAGGGAGTCACATGCTATGTTTATTATTCTTTCTAGAATACTGGAACACTGATGATTATATATCTTGGCATCAGGAACTGCAAGACAAGCTTAAAGAATTGGAAAAAGATCACGAAAGTAATGCAACTGAAAAATTATTCCAGGCAAGCATGAACTTTGGACCTTTAAAGCAAACATCCAATTTGTATGTGTCAAATGGAAAATATTTTAAATATCCATTAAATTTATTTACTCAAAGCAGAAACTATGAAAGGAAGCAGACTGGTAAGTTCAATATATACAAGAAGTCATTTCTCTACACCGAGCATGAAAAAGCTCGTGCTGACTTAAAGTACTATGAGTGTAATGAATGTGGAAAAGTCATCAGCAAGAAATCACAGCTCATTGTACATCAGAGAACTCATACAGGAGAGAAACCCTTTAAATGCAACAAGTGTGACAGAGCCTTTCCCCAAAAGGCACACCTTGTTACACATCAGACAATTCACATAGGAGAAAAACTTTTTGGATGTAGTGAATGTGGGAAAGCCTTCTCTCGAAAGTCACATCTCGTTACTCATCAGAGAACTCATACAGGAGAGAAGCCCTATGAATGCAATGACTGTAGCAAAGTCTTCTCTCAGATATCACAGCTCATTATCCACCAGCAAAGTCATACAGGAGAGAAACCCTATGTATGTAGTGAATGTGGCAAAGCCTTCAGAGAAAAGGCAAGTCTCAATAAGTATCAGAGGATTCATTCAGGAGAGAAACCCTATGTATGTAGTGAATGTGGGAAAGCCTTCAGAGAAAAGGCAAGTCTCAATAAGTATCAGAGGATTGATTCAGGAGAGAAACCCTATGTATGCAGTGAATGTGGGAAAGCCTTCAGACAGAAGGCAAGTCTCAGTGATCATCAGAGGATTCATTCAGGAGAGAAACCCTATGTATGCAGTGAATGTGGCAAAGCCTTCAGACAGAAGGCAAGTCTCAGTGATCATCAGAGGATTCATTCAGGAGAGAATCCATACAGATGCAGTCAATGTGCCAGAGCCTTCAGTGGTAAGTCACTCCTCATTAGACATCAGAAAACTCATTCAGGAGAAAAACCCTATGGATGTAATGAATGTCAGAAAGCCTTTATTTGGAATTCACAGCTCATTATTCATCAGAGAACTCATACAGGAGAGAAACCCTATGGATGCAGTAAATGTGGAAAAGCTTTCTCCCAGAAATCACACCTCATGATTCATCAGAGAACTCACATAGAACAGAAATCTTAAGAATACAGTGAATGTGAAGAATGATTAAGAGAATAATCACACTTCCTTCTATTCCAGAAAACTCATTTATAGAAATTCTATGAATGCCTTGAATATACAAAGTTTTCAGAAGGAAGTTACACTACACATTAGAATGTCAGATGGAAGAGCGTCTACAGAAGCATAAAGGAAAGCAGTCACTCAACGACTATTCTAACCTAATGATAATCAGGTTACTCACAGTGTGGAGAAACATCACGATTGAAGTAAACATAAGAAAATAATATCCATAAGAAATTTGGTTTCTAACTGTGACATTGCATTAGTTAATATTAGATTGTCGGTTCTAAATGGTAGGCATATGGAACATTTAAAACAGGGAGCTGTAAATTCAGTAATCGTAACAGTAGAATAAACAACATTGCTTCAATGGTATATACGATTTATATTCCTGAGTAAAGCTAATTGTTGTTGTTGTTATGTGCCGTGGAGTCGGTTCTGACTCATAGTGACCCTGTACACGGTTTCCTAGGCTGTAAATCTTTACAGGAGTAGAAAGCCTCATCTTTCTCCAACGGAACAGCTGGTAGTTTTGAACTACTGACCTTGCAATTCTCAGCCCCATTCGTAACCACTATGCTAAGGATCTATGAAATTAACATAATTGTGGTAATGATACATCATGTGGTTCAGAGCTTGATATCTATCATCATTTCTACATAAAATATGTTTCATCTTATACCGTAACAAAATAAGCAAATTCTATAAAATGCCTGACTTATTTAAGGTGTAGTTTATATTACTACATACCTATTTCACATGTAAGGACCTCTGGTAGCACAGTGGTTAGGAATCGGGCTGCTAACCTCAAGGTCGGCAGTTCAAAACTACCAGCTGTTCCGTGGGAGAAAGATGAGGCTTTCTGCTCCTGTAAAGATCTGCAGCCTCAGAAACCCTATGCAGGGTCACTCTGAGTCCCAACGGCTCTACAGTACTTAATAACAACATTACATGTAAATGAATTTGAGATTACTTACTGTGTTTTCTTTTCACCAACAGTATTGTTATAGTCTATTACCTCTGAGTCACTAGTTCTTATGCAGAATTATTCTTTATATATTACATATGAAAAGGTAAGAATGTTGTTGTTAAGTGCCAAGTCTGTTCTAACCCATAGCAACCCTGTATAGGGCTTCCGAAGAGTGGCTGGTGAGCTTGAACCACTGACCTTACAATTCAAATCTGCTTTGCAGTCCAGCGCAGTAACCCACAGTGCCACACCTGGATTCCCAAGGCAAGAATACATGTTAACAAGTCAGCAAAAGAAAGATGCTCTGAATTGTATTACTCATTCTAAATGGATACAAACTTGTTGTTAAGTGTCTTCCACTTCAATCCTGACTCATAGGGACCCTGTGAGAGGTTTCTGAGGAGTGGCTGGTGGGTTTCAACTGCAGACTTTTCAGTTTGCATGCAGGGATTAGTCTATCCTACCATCCAGGGAGAACTTCATTTACAAAACAGAGGTATTGAAAATAAGATTTACAGAAAGCACATCCTCCAGTTGTCATCAGTGAGATTTCTTTCTGAGTTTAGTTGTACATAAAGATAATTTCTCCAAGAATTCTTCTGTATTTTAAGTTAATATAATGTAACATAATGTTATATTGCTCCCTGCTCATGGACAATACATTGTCTTCAGAGTCTGTAACCAACAGCAAACGTTATTTGTATATGTGGTTGTACTGAGGGTTACAATTAGATTTGAGGTTAGCAAAGTATCACTTTTGGGGGTGACTTTGACCCCAAATTTCTTATGTGGCCCAGATTGTTCTCAACTGCCCTATGAGAACATTGTAGAATTGTTTCTCAGTAAGGGTTCAGCTTGGAAAACAGAAACTCCTCTAAGTCCTTACAGTGGAGGGAATGTGATACAGGAAGTTGGCTATGTAAGTGATGAGAAGCCAAAGGCGTGGATGAAGCATCCCAGGAGGTAGCAGCAGGAATGAATTCATTACCACCATGAGATTGGAGCAATTAAGGAAGAATATGGTGTTACCAGATCCCAGGGTCACCCAGAACCAGCTACAACCATGGTGAATCTATCCAAGAAGACTTGGAGACACAATTACTACTTGAGAAACAGAAGATGGTAAGAAATATCCTGGATCTTAGTGACGGACCTCGCACTCTCCAATTCTCTACTAGTACTTTACAATAATCAAACTCAAAACCTCAACTAGAAGCAACTGATACAGGAGGATGGACTACATCCTGTGAGGCAGATTTCTCCTGCCTTAAGATCAGAGGGGAGTCCTGGTGTGGTGCTGTGGGTTAATACCTGGACTACAAAGCCGTTTGAATTGCAAGGTCGGCAATTCAAGCTCACCAGCTGCTCCTCGGAACCCTATCCAGGGTCGCTATGGGTCGGAATCGACTTGACACTTCACAACAACACAGGATGCGAGGAAGCAAGGGGAGGGGCCAGAAATGGATCTGAGAACTAAGCAGGCCCTAGATGAGCACAATTCACCCATGTTGCTATTCGGCCTTCTTCCTATCTTTCCGTAAAACATGTAATATATATAATAATGTTGTGCTTCTCCTATTGTGGGTTTGCTATTCCTCACACAAAGATATTGTCACCTAGTCCCCCGGATAAGAGCTCTATAAATCATTATTAACAGTGGAAGTCCAGAATGTGTAGATGCAGTGTGACTTTACTTGTTTTCATATCCTACACACTAAATTATAAACCTAAAGCCACACTAGTGTTCCACATCAAAATAAACCAGAGATTACTGAAATACAAACTTATGCATAGTAGGCACAGTCATCACTGTACTTTTTGAAATTATGGCGGATACTACTCCTCTATAACTTTCTCCTGCTACCTGTTCCATGTCATGCTATCATCCAACAGTTGGCTGATCAATGGTCAATACCTGGTGAGGTAATCCAGATCTTCATTCCTGAAGAATCTCAATTTCTAGTCCCATCCTTACTTGGGTACCTTAGTTGCCCATTAGACATTACCATCATCCATGGAAATACTGAAAGGCTCATAAGTGGACTTGTTGAGTTCCATAGTCTACAATGCCACAGTTGGACAGCAGTAGCGTAGTGGTTCCGAATCAGGATGCTACCTGCAAGGTTGGCAGTTCGAAACTACCAGCCGTTTCACGGGAGAAAGATGAGGCTTTCTGCTCCGGTAAAGATTTACAGCTTCGGAAACCCTGTACAGGGTCGCTATGAGTCGGAACTGACTCCACGGCACATCACCACCACCACCAATGCACCAGTCAGAGTCCTAGTGTGGCACTGTGGGTTAATGCGCCAGGCTGCAAAGCCATTTGAACTGCAAAGTCGGTGGTTCAAGCTCACCAGCTGCTCCTCGGAAACCATATACAGGGTCGCTGTGGGTTGGAACCGACTCGGTGGCACTTAACAACAACAACGTGATGGCTGGAACTGCCGCTGCCTTGGCAAGGCCAAACCAAAAGATAAGGTCTGCAGGCTGGACATTCTCCACCCCTGCCGTTAAACCATACGTAATCAAGACAATATCAAAGTCATACTTCCACCTAACATGATACAACAGTATGTGAGGAGGTATCACTCTTCTCACTGATACATGTAATGTGAGCACTGCATAAAACTTGTTAAATGTTTGAGCCAATTTTGTTGTTGTTGTTATGTGCCGTGGAGTCAGTTCCGACCCATAGCAACCCTGCACAGGGTTTCCGAGGCTGTAAATCTGTACGGGAGCAGAAAGCCTCATCTTTCTCCCGCGGAGCAGCTGGTAGTTTCAAACTGCTGACCTGGCGGTTCACAGCCTGATTCGTAACCACTACGCTAGCAGACTAATTTTTAAGTTGGTAATTTTATATGGCCTGCGAATGACGGTTATAAACTTTGGCAGAAAAGCCATGTGGGTGTCAAACTGACAAGGGGTGGAGTTTTACACCAAACAAGCTCCCATGAAAATCAAACCAATCATGTTGCCATGGAGCCGATTTTGACTCCTTAACCACCCTATAGTCACACAGGTTTCCAAAACTGTGACTCTTTCTAGAAGCTGACTGCTACATTCAGCGGGTGCACACAATCACGCCAGGCTTCCTAAACCCACAGCCACTGGGTCAATTCCAACTCCTAACAACCTTAGAGGCCGAAGGGAAACTGCTTCATGGGGTTCCCAAACTATGAATCTTAACCCGAGCGGCCTCATCTGTCCTCCGCAGACTGACTGGTGGTCTTCAACTCCCAACCTTGCAGTTAGCAGCTCACCACCCAGCCCACAGTGTCACCAAGGCCACAGGATCCGGGTTATTAATTCAAACCCTAATTAAGTGGTGTTGAGAAGGTACTTTTTATAAAGTTTATAATCAGTTTAAATGTGGAAGATTCCTAGATAAATCCTAGATAATTTGGGTGGGGGTAGGACTCCTGGTGTGGCGCTCTAGGATCAGCACTGGACTGCAAACCACAAGGTTGGCAGTTCAAACCCACCAGCTCCTCCTTGGAAACCCTACCAGGGTGGCTGTGACCTCGCTGGCACGTCACAGCAGCCTAACCCAGTCAGCTAAAGGGCTTTGAGAAGACTGGAGGCTTCCTTCCCGCAGAAGAAATTCGGCCTCAGATGTCTGCTCCACGGGTGTCAAACCCTTAAACCCAATCTTCCATAAATCCTCTGACCGGCTCCCTGCTGGAGCCCTGATTGATAAAAACACGTCCCGACACTCCTGACCTCGAGTAAGTTCTTGTTCAAGACAAACACTGCTCTTTTATCCGTGCAGAAGTATTTTTATATGTGTACCCACGGAGTACACACACGGAAATACACGCATACCTCGTTTTACTGTGAACCCCGGCTCGAGCGGAGTCTGCAGGCGCCCCCATTTCCCCAGCCATGTACTCACTTCGTGTCTGTCACACATCGTAGTCATTCTCACAATACTGCAAACTTGTTTTTATCGCACACGTCATACACTATAGTACAATGTCACCATAACTTTTTGGGAAATTAAAAAATGTAGGTGACTCACTTTACTGCCGTGGTCTGGAACCGAACCTGCAATAGCATCGAGATCTGCCTAGCTCCAGAGTTGGCTGTCCACTCGACACTGCTTCACTTCGCCGTGGAGCCCTTCATCCCTGCAGACATCTGCCTCGGTCCTTGGAAATGCTGGGGGAGCTGCGCTCTCTCGTTTCAAAACTTAAGACGGACATTGCACTTTCTGCAAATCGTTGGTTCTCACGCCGCGGAGCCCCCTTCTCTGGCGTACGAGAGCACGCCGTTACACCTGAGTCAAAGGGAACGTGCGTTTACAAAGGAAACACTGCAAAATCCTCCCCAAAGAGGGGGCCGACGTCGTAGGGGCCTCCCCTCGACAAGCAATCTCTTGGTGGTTTTCCATCTTAGCTTCCAAAGTGCAAAACCCGAAGTCATTTCAGTTTGAGTTATCTCGTTGTGGTCTTCTCCTCTATTGTCGAAAATCCACCTGTTTGAAAGGAGACCTTGCGGAGTTACTTTCACTTGTTGCGCACCCTCCAGTGATTCCGACTCTCAGCAACAGAGCAGGGTCTCCGAGGTAGTAAATCTTTAGGGATGCTGACTGCCTTATCTTTCTCCAGAGTTGCTGCTGGTGGGTTCGGAAGGCCAACCTTTTGATTAGTTCAGCCGCTTAGCCAGTGGCCACCAGACCCTCCAATGCGAATCCAGAAACTATTAGGTGGCCTTTGCCCCAACCTAACATGGCGTCCGACAGCTGCTACTTCTACGATCCTGAGGAGCCGAACGGACCAGGTCAGCACTAAAAATGGCGTCGAGACCGTCGATCTCCAGTCTGCTCATGCGCATCTTGCCTCCACTCTCGGTGGCCGCTCCCGGGTCCGCTCTAGCTGTTGCTCTCGATGGGCTCCGTCGGCGGCCAATTGCAGAGCGCCGCAGCCGGTTCGCCCCGCCCCGCGGATCAGCTGAGGAAGCTGCGATGTCTGTTGACAGCGGCGGTCTAGCCGGTTCCGGGTTCGGCGCGGATCGAGGGGTAAGTGGGGCTTGCGGAGGGGGCTCCGGCCGCTGGGAAGACGCCCGCCTGCCCACCGGCGACCTTTACCGGTCCTGGGGGTAGCGTTGGCTGCGCCTCGGAAGCCGTGGAGGCCACGGGGAGGAGGGGTGGCCGGGCGGGTGTCTTTGGGTGGGCCAGCCTCACCCCACGTCTCGGCTGTTAGATGTGAATCCGATGGAGCGGCCCGAGGAAGGCAAGCAGCCGAATCCCTGGGGGAGGCTTCTCCGCCTGGGCGCCGAGGAGGGCGAGCCGCACATCCTGCTGTGGAAACCGGAGTGGACCATCGGGCGGCGGAGAGGTGTGGGCCCTGAGGGCGGGGGCTGGGGGCGGGCTGTGGCGTGGGGGGGGGGCCGGCGGGGCGGGGGTGACGCCGGGACGGCGCCCACTTGGCCGCTGGGAACCACAGGGGGAAGGGACGCGGGGTGGCTCCAGTTTTTCTAGTGGACTGCGTTTTCATGTAATCGTTGCCATTTATTGAGTTATTTTGTATGCCCGCGGCTCTCTGAAGCGCTTCGTGCGGATTATTTAATCCTCTTTACAGCTTTATGAAATCGGTGCTGTGATTGCATCTCTCGTAAAGTTTCTCAAGTCCATTGTTATACAAAGTGCCTTTTCTGACCACAGCAGAAGGAAAGTAGAAATCAGTGACCGAAAGAAAACTGGAGTTTAAACATATAAGAATTAAGCAATCCATTCGTAGGTAACCAGTAGATTTTTATTTTGTTTTGAGATCATCCACCAGTTCACACTGTTTTAGCTCAAAGATTACAATCTCTTCCATACAACACTTACCCTGCTTACTCCCTGTGGTTCCAATTTCCGTTCCATCCACTCTCCCCACCTCTCGGAACCTTGTCAGGTTTTGATCTTAAATGGTTGACCGCTGTGTCAGTAAGTAATGGACAAAAGGTCTGTGCTTCAAACTCACCGGCTGCTCCTGGAAACCCGGTACTGGATCGTTATGCTTCTGGAACAGACTTCACAGCACTTAACATATCTCACTGGGATTGTTGTGCCGCCCCACCCCCACCCCTTCATGTACCCATGGATTTCTTGGTTAAAAATTGGACTAGGAAGAAAATTCCAGACCAGAAGGGTAGCCATGGGCCACACATGCTTAGGTTCTTCTAGCCTCTTTCTGATCGGTCAGCCTCGTGTGTTTTTTTATAGTTTTGAGTTTTGTTCCAGATTGTCTCCCACTCTCTCTGGGACCTACTAATGTGATCCTTCTCAGAGCAGTTGGTAGTGGGTAGCTGGGCACCATGTAGTTCTGGCCTCAGAGCCATGGGCGCTGATGGTCATTTGTTCCTTTAATCCGTTGGACTAATTGGTTCCAAGTATCTTCACTTTTCATCATTCATCTCTCCTCCATCCATGGAGAGACCAGTAGTTGCACCTTAGATGGCTGCTCATGAGCTTTTTAGATCACAAACACTACTCACGGAAATACGATGCAGACCATTGTCTTTGTGGACTATTTTATGCCAGTTGATCATGGTGTCACCTGAGACTCTGGACCTGAGACCACGGGCTCAGCAAATCATTGTCTCAAAGAGCAAAGATGTCAGCTTGAGGACTAAGGTGCACCTGACCCGAGCCAGGTGTTTTCAATAACCTCATATGCATGTGAAAGCTGGACAGTGACTAAGGAAGACCGTAGAAGAATTGATGCATTTGAATTATGCTGTTGGAGGAGAATATTGAAAGTACCATGGACTGCCAAAAGAACCAATAGATCTGTGTTGGAAGAAATAAAGTCAGAGAGCTCCTTGGAGGCCAGGAGGGCCTGACTTAGTCTCTCATACTTTGAACATGTTGTCATGAGAGACCAGTCTCTGGAGAAGGATATCATGTTTGGTAAGGTGGAGGGTCAGAGAAAAAGAGGAGGTCCCCAACGAGATGGATTGGCAAAAAAAAGTGGCAGCATCCATGGGCTCAAGCGTGGTAACAATTGTGAGGTTGGCCCAGGACCGGGCAGTGTTTCATTCTGTTGTGCATAGGGTCGCTCCGAGTTGGTACTAGCTTGATGGCACCTAACAACAACAACAAGAAGACGTTTTCCTCATTGTGATCCCTGTGTGCAATACCACATTCATATGTGTGTTTGCAGCAAAGGTAAATCCCCATGTGCAAATCTCCTCTGTCAAACCCTTATATATTTGTGGGTATTTGTGGGTGTACTCCCACTCCCTCTCCATTCAGTTATGTACCTGTCCACGAAGCTACCTAGAGAACACTGTTGTTGCAGGGTAGGATGTATAACAATATTTATCTCTATCCTCTTTAACCCTTACATTTCTCTCTGTGTCTTCTCCTGTCTGTATCATTCTTCTGTCACTCTTCCTCTTGTATACTGCCTTCTTCATCACCTGAGTTAACACATGTCTGTCCAGTAGCCTATGAATTACTCTCCTTTCCCTCCCATCACTGATAACCATCAAAGAATGTTTCTTTTAGCAGGAAAACCTTTTTTCAGTTTTTACAGTAGGGCTCTCAGATAGTATTTGTACTTTTGTGATTGACTAATTTCACTCAGCCAAATGTCCTGCAGGTTCATCCATGTTAAGAGGTGTCTTGCAGCTTCATCAGAGTTACTCTTCAGTGTTGTGTAGTGTTCCAGTGTGTGTATGTACCATAGTTTGTGTAGCCATTTTTCCATTGATGGGCCTTTAGGCTGCTTCCGTCGTTTTGATGCTGTGACTAGTACTGCAATGAGTGTAGATGTGCATGCATCCACTCATGACACGGGTCTATGTCTTGGGGATATACACCAAGTAGAGGGATTGCTGGGTCATGTCGGTGATGTTGTTAGGTGCCATTGAGTCCGAATCGACTCATAGCAACCCTACGCACAACAGAAATAAACACTGCCCTGACCCGGGCCAACCTCACAATTGTTATTTCCAACTTTTTGAAGCCGTGTCATACTGTTTCTCATAGTTATTGTTAATGTCTTCGAATTGGTTCCAACTCATTGCGGCCCTATGTAGGGATTCTGAGGAGCGACTGGTGAGTTTAACCCTGACCTTACAGTTCAAACCAACCTTGTGGTCCAGTGCTTAATTTACAGAACGACACCAGAACTCCGTTGTTCACAGTGGTTGCACCATTTACAGTCCCATCAGCAATGTAAGAGGTGTCCAGGCTTCCCACACTCTCATCAGCAATCGCTCTTTTCTAGTTTTTTGACCTTTGCTGTTAATGTTGGGGTAAGGTGATATCTTGTTGCTATTTTGATTTTTGTCTCTAATGGTTAATGATCGCAAACATTTAATTGGGTTCTTTGTCTTTTTCTTCTAGAGGTGTTGTAGTTTTCTATGAATTTTAGAGATTGGTCCCTTATCTGATACATCATTTCAAACATTGTTTTCGTAGTCTCCTCCTTGGAACCTTCTACCGCGTCTCTGTGAGTCAGAACCAACTCAACAGCATTTAAGTACAACATCGGCTTTTCTGGTTGATTCCAGCCCATGGAGTGCTCCCATGTACAACAGAACAAAACACTGTCTGAGCCTACACTGGCCTCCCAACTGTTGCTGTGTTTGAGTCTGTTTTTGTCACCACTGCCAGCTCTCCTGTAGTCACATTCTGAGTGCCTTCCACCTGCAAGGATGGGTTTTCAAATCCATAAGCCGCTACTTGGAAACCCTATACTGGGTTCCTATGAGTTGAACTGAGTCCATGGCACTTACCAACAACTCTAATAGCACAGGAGTCCTAGTGTGACTCTATAGGATAAGCATTTGACTGCTAGCCACAGGTCAGCTGTTCAAACCACCAGGCCCTCTTCAGAAACCATATACAGGATCAGTGTGAGTCAGAACTGGCTCTACGGCTCTTTGCAACAGCTATAACGCAACAACTGTGGTCAGTGGCGTTTCGTCCACCTTGCTCTAATGACTATGATACTTGGCAGCTTGGTCTCTCACACTCCTCACAGCAGTCCCTGGAGAAGGACATCATGCTAGGTAAAGTGGAGGTCAGTGAAAAAGAGGAAGACCCCCGTGAGCTGGATTGGTACAAGTTTACAAAGATTGTGAGTGTGGTGCAGGACTGAGCACTGCCTCCGTCTGTTGTTCATGGGGTTGCTGTGAGTCCACAGTGACTCCAGGATCCCTGGTAGGAGTGCTGGGCTGCTGCTGCAATCCAAAGGCTGGCAGTTCATACTCACCAGTTACACCTTGGAAACCCTATGCAGGGTCGCTATGAGTCTGAACTGACTCAGCGGCACATCTTTGTAAATTCTGCCTATAAGACCTCCATGAGTGCTGACAGGGTCCCCATTGGTGCTGTCATTATTACATGCTGTTGAGTCACTTCGGACTCATTGGGACCTTGTATAGGGTTTCTGAGGAGAGGCTGCTTGGTTTGAACTGCCAACCTTCCAGCTACTAATCCAGTGCGAATGGAAATGCAGAAAGGTGGAAGATACCTCCTTAATTTGGGTTAATGCTGAAATGCTTTTTTTTTTTCTTTGTATTTTGCTTATCTGTTGTTTTCTAGGGTGAATACAGTGGGGATCCTAATTTTGAATTTCATGCTTTGATTAAGTGAAGGACAGTCTTATTCATAATACCTGTAATAATTTCTATTTTTTGACTCCCTGCCCATTTTAGGTTGTGACCTTTCATTCCCTGGCAATAAGTTGGTCTCTGGAGATCACTGTAAAATCATAGTGGATGAAAAGTCTGGTCAGGTGTCACTGCAGGATACCAGGTGAGCTCTCCCTGAACATTTTCTGCTTCCTCCTGTCGCTTAAGCCCAATTTGAAGTGGGTGTATTGTGTGCATGATGGAGGAGGAGCAAACGGCGTTGTATCATACCTCAGAGATACTGTAGGTTAGGTTGGTGATTGTTGGGATAAAGTTAGTCACAGGCCTTTTTTGGTTTCCCAGTGCACATAAAAGGTACATTGACATTACACTCTAGTCTGCTAAGTGTGCAATAAATAGCATTATGAAAAAATTGTATTGTGTAAATGACCAGATGGGGATGCAGAGGTGCAGAGTGAGCACATGCTACAGGAAAAGGCGCTCATAGACTTGCTCGACACAGGGCTGCAGAAAAGCTTCCGTTTGTGAAAAAAAATCACAAGATCTGTGAAAGGAAAGCGAAGCGAAGCCCGACAACTCAGCGGATGGCTGTGACGACAGTCCGGGCCGCTCTCAAAGTGCTGTCAAGTGTGTTTTCTGGTTCTGAGGATGGCTTACTCAGTGACATACTGCTAACACTGGTGTCTCGGACTGTATTCAAAACTTAAAAATCTAAGAAATAAGACATTGAAGTGATTGACAAATTTGTGCTGCTTCAAAAACTATCTGTTTTGAGTTCTTCCTCCAAAATAAAAAAAAGTCCTTTTTTTAAAAATTAATTTCTATACCACTGAAATAGTAGAAAGTGAGCTTTTCATAGTCCCATTCACATACTCAAAATTTAATTGGAACTTAGTTGGTTGATGATGCATGGAGGGGATTGTAACCGTGGCAATGAAATGATATATGAGAGAATGAATGTATAGCTGATGTTTTCCCATGTAAACTATCAGATCATTCCCAATAAAACAGTTAAAGAAAAAGAAAAGATGAATGTACATAAATATAAATAAGTCAGTAAATCAGTGCACTTACGAGATTGCAAAAAATATATCTATCTAACTGGGAGAATCGTCCCCTTCCACGCAGGAGACCTGGGTGTGAGTCTCAGCCAACCTCATGCACGTCTGCCACCCCTGTTAGTGGAGGCTTGCAGTCTGCTTCCTAAAATCAGTCTGTAAGAACCCTACCTTGTAGGCACCCCATCATGGGGATTGCGCAGGATCAGGCAGCATTTTCTTCTGTTGTGCTGATGCCTTGGTCAAGGGCCAACTTAACAGCAGGCAACAGTAGCAGTTTCTCATAAATGAGACTATCCTATGCCGAGTCCTGATGTGGCACTGTGGGCTGATGCGCTCGACTGCACAGTCATTGGAGCCGTACAGTCAGTGGTTCAAGCTCTACAGCTGCTTCTTGGAAACCCTATACAGGGTCGCTATGAGTTGGAACCAACTCAACGGCACTTAACAACAGCAACAACTGTTGTATTTGTGGGGAAAAGAAGCGACTTCCTGTTCCTGCAAAAATTTACAGCCTCGTACGTCCTACACAGGATCACTGTGAGTGAGAAACGACTGTATGGCACGTAACAACCACTGTATTCCCTGTTACTGCAGTGCTCTAGAACCAGACCGCAGTGCCTTCAGCCTGATGGGCAAGAACGGAAAACTGCTTCTGGAGGCGCCCTGCAATGTGCTGTATGACTGCAGGGCTTGCCTTTCCTGTGGCTTCCGTAACAGATGACCACAAATCAGGGCCTTTATTTTCATACAGTTCTGGGGTCAGCAATCCAGCCTGGGTCTCACCAGCTCAAATCAAGGTGGGAACATGCTGTGTTCCTTCTGGTGACCTCTGGAGGCTGGCACATAACTTGGCTCGTGGACTCTTTCCATTTTCAAGCCAGTAAAGGCCAGTTGAGTCTTTCCCAATGATGCTTTTCCTCTGGTTCTGACTCTTCTGTCCCCCCTCCCCTTCAAGGACCCATGTGATTATATTGGGATGGAGGAAGGAGCCACAGCTCAGGAGTATGGGTGGCCTCTTGAAGTTGAAAAAGCCTCTAGAAGGAGCTCAACATTTTGATTGCCTTGATGTCAGGACTTCTGAGCTGCCGACGCCACATTCATTACAGCAGCCACGAGAGACTCCTGCCCTGCCTCTCTTGTGGTGCCCAGAAATGGTCCTGCAGAAATGAATTGTCACTCATACGCAGGCATCTCGTTCTTGTCTGGAGCTTATCTATATAGCAAGTCACTGGTCATATGAGGACCTGTGGGCAGGGCTGAGCACAGACATGGACTGAAGCTAGAAGAGGACCCAGGAGGAGGAAAACCAGGGCATCGGGGCCTTTGGAACCACAGAGATTATAAAACTCTCCCTGAAGTGGTACACACGTTACTCCTCTGAGGATCTATCAATTAGAAATGGGACTAATAAGATGCTATCCTAGAAGCAGTTTTTAACTCCCAAGTTATTTTCAGTGTGGTAAAGTGTAATTTAGGAGTCCTGATGTGGTGCTGTACAATGAGTTCTGGACTGCTAACCACAAGAAACCCTATACAGAGCCGTTATGACTTGGAACCGATTCCACAGCACGAAACAACAAAGTCTCTTGTTTTGTCTTCTTTACAGTACCAATGGGACAGTAATTAATAAGCTGAAGGTTGTTAAGAAGCAGACCTGCCCTTTGCACACAGGGGATGTCATCTACGTGGTGTTCAGGAAGAATGAGCCGGAACACAGTAAGAGAGCAACCCTATTGGGTAGACCTTGGGGGCATGACAGGGGGGACATACCTGCTGATGCTGGAAAACAAGCTTCTCCAGGAAGATGGGGTGTCCCCCGAGAATGGTCACTGCAAGTCCCAGTCTTCCTTTTTCAGTGCCCCATGTCATTAGCTGTGACTCTCAGATCCTCTCAACTGGCAACCGAGGGAAAGTGAGTGGAGATGGGTTAGCTTGTAGAGTAGAGATATTACAGTCATGGGGAATGAAACCTGCCAGTGGGGGACTAGAGGCTGTGGGTTAGCTCGTAGAGTAGGGGTATTACAGTCATCGGGAATGAAATCTGCCAATGGGGGGACTAGAAGCCGTGGTTGGCTCTAATTCTGGAGACTGCAGGTGAAGGGAAAGGCTGAACTGGGTTCCACTCTATCTTTTCAGGTCCTGGCGTCTCTGTTTATGTTTCAGGAAGAACAGTGTAGCACAGGCAGTTATGGGGGTCCTTAATAAGGTCAGGGGGAGAAGTATTTCTAGACATCAGTGGGAAGGAGGCACATGTTCCCCAGGTCACCTTCAACACGATCACACAAAAGGACCTTGGGTCTGCTCTTAGAGTAGTGCGGAATTGTAAGCAAGGCATAAACTATTTATTTATTTATATTTAACTTTTTATTATGAATTGAGTGAAGGTTTACAGAGCAGATCATCGGTTTTGCATTCAACAAATCATAGACTTTGCTTCATTACAATTGTAGATTGCAATCCCATTGTGTACCAACAGTTCACAGTATTTACCTCTTCACTTTGACTGTTGCATCCCTCCCTGTGTCTCCGGCTCCCTTCATCTTTCCTCTGCTAACTTACTTCTTGTATATTGTTTGATGTGTCACCCATGTTAACATGCGTCTACCTTCTAGCCTGTGAATAATTTCCCCTCCCCATCAAAACCATCATAGAGTCTTTCCTTTATCAAGAAAACTATTTCTTACCTTTTTCATAACATTGGTCGGATATGATATTTGTCCTTTGGTGGTTGACTAATTTCATTCAGTATAATGTCCTCCAGGTTCATTGTGAGGTGTTTAGCAGACTCATCATTCTTCAACATTCTGTGTTCTCCTTGCTGTCTTTGATCTTTCTCTTAGTTCTTTGTTGTTGTTAAGTATGGTGGAGTCGGTTCTAACTTACAGCAACCCTGCACAGGGTTTCTGAGGCTGTAAATCTTTACAGGAGCAGAAAGCCTCATCTTTCTCCCTTGGAACAGCTGGTAGTTTCGAACTGCCAACCTTGAGGTTAGCAGCCCAATTCGTAACCACTATGTTACCAGAGCTCCTTTGTCAGTCCTTAGAAGGTACATTCTTTGGAATTCTTTTTCAGTTAGTTCCATTACCTGTATTTCCTCAGAAATGTTTTCTAGGTCTACCTCTTGGTCATTTTCTCATTTCTTCCTGTGAACTAAAGTGTCTGTTGTCTTTAAGGCATTGTGGTGTTGTCGTATTTGTATTTAATTGATGATTGTATGTTGATACGTTCTTAGCCTCTCACCAATTTTGTCCTGTCCGTGTAGTTAGAGAATGGAAGTGCGTACTGTTAGTAGAAAATGGAAGCCTGTACATCCTTCTTCACTGTTTGTACACCTCAGATTAGGGTGGCTCTGACTGGTGTTGGCTGCTGTCTCTCATTGGATCAGGTGGTATTGGCTCTTGCTCAGAAGGAGGAGCTGCAGAAAGTCTGGTTGTGGCTGCGCTTTCTGGGCACAGTTGTAGTTTCCTGTCGTCTGTGTGTACCTGCTTCTGTTGCCAAAGCTGCTTACAGAAATTCAAGATGGTCATGTTGGGTCTGGCTGGCTGCTCACCCGAGTCTCCCTCTCTCACTGTTCCTGCCCAGCACTCAGTCTGTGTCTCTACCCTTTCCTCTGAAGTTCAGAGTTTTCAGGATTTTCATTTGTGTCTGTTGCATTTGGTCTCTCAGATCTTTGTTGTAGAGGGTCCTTGTAATGCCTCCGTCTAGTCTGCCATCTTGCTGGAAGTTGCCCCAAGGCATACACTCATCACCTTGCCATAGCTCTTATTTTCTCTTACTCTGGCTTCTGATTCCAGGCATTTGTCCCGGAGGCTTACTTTACATTTGGTCAATAGGCTTTTAGTTACTTTACATGGTTAGTTTTGAGTTACTGGTGAACAATCAGAATGGTCAATGAAGGCAATGTAATAGACAAGTTTTCCCTTCCTCATGGGCTGAGATGCCTCTGATTGGATTGATTTCCTTTTAGATGTGGCGTACCTCTATGAATCTCTACAGGACAAACAAGGCATCACACAAGAGCCTTTTGGTGAGTTTGGCACAGTAAAGGACTGAATGTTTTTACAAGAAAACTCTTCGCCTCTGCTGTTGTTTCTGTGCTGAAACAGCAGTCCCCTACTTAGTCCCAACAGTATGCTTCTTCTCTTTCTGTGGTTGCAGAAGCGAATAAAGAAAATGTGTTCCTCGTGACCAAAGATACCTCAGGAGCCGAGAGTGGCGGTGATGCCCTGGCCCTGTCCCCATCACCTGCCACTCTGACGTGCTGTGAGGAGCCACAGCCATCAACATCGACTTCAGACCTCTTCTACACGGCCTCTACCTCGTCCATGGAGCCTCCTTCTGTGGGACAGGAGCACCCCAGTGCATCTGGTGAGACCAAGTCCCTGGCCCACATCCAACCTCCCACAGGCCAGCTGTCCTCGTGGGTTACTCCTGACCTACACTGTTGTAGAAACCAGTGAGCTGCTAAGGGACTGAGAGGTGGAATTGGTGCAAGATCATCCCTAGTCAGACTTTCATAGTGGAGCAGGCAGGCAGGCCGTGGGGATTGCAGGTTCGATCCCAGACCACCACAGTAAGGCAAATAAGGAAGCTTTTGGTTTCCCGGTGCATTTACAAGTTACATGTACACCATGCTGTAGTTGATAAAGTGTGCAATAGCATTATGAAGAGATTGAAATATTGGGAGAACAACCAGATATGCCCGACACGAAATGAGTCCATGCTACTGGGAAAATGACACTGATGGACTTCCTTGACAAACAAGGTTGCCATAAACCCTCCATTTGTGAAGCGCAATAAACCAAGGAGTGTCTGTCTGACCTTGTCCTTCCATCCCTGAGAGAAATGCGTAGCATCTGGGACTATTTACTACATAGTATTTTTTATTGTTTTATTTTTTTTTATTAATTTGTTTTGAGATATAACTTCAAACTGTCAAAATCACCCAGGTAAACTCAGTGGCTTTTTGGACATTCACAAAGTTGTATCATATGTGATCCCATGTGCAATATGCAATCTTTCATGACTGGCATCTTGCACTTCATTTGATGGTTTCACGGTTCCTGCAGAGTAGCAAATGAGTAAAAACCGTTTTGATAGCCTGTTCCTTACAGCATGGACTTTCCTCCTTCCTCCATGGTATAGTATGACACAAGCATTCCCTGATGGTGGTAATACATGAATATATATGTACATATAGTTTCTAAATTGAATGACATTACACATTTATTTCTTATTTTCTTAGCTATATTTTTCTTTCAAGTGGTCTTTTGAAGTAGCTCTTCAAGTTTAAAACACAATCTCTCTGAGATTTTTATTTGGAAATTGATAGTTTTTACAATGCCCGGGACAATGTTTTTTGTCCTTACTTATTAAGCTTTTTGATGGTATTCATTGATGCCTTACCATCTTCTTTACCTACATAGAGATGGCTTTTTCTCATTCCTAGAACTTTATACTGGGGTTGGGATAGCTTCTTATTGTCATTGTTATGACGTGTTGTTGAGTTGGTGCTGACTCATAGCAACCCTACACACAACAGAACGACACACTTCTCAGTCTTGTGCTGCCGTCACAGTTGGTGTATGTTTGTGTTCATTGTTGCTGCTAATTTGTCAGTCCATCTCATTGAGGGACTTCCTCTTTTTCACTGATTGTCCACTTTTCCGAGCAAACTGGTCCTCCCTGACTCATGTCCATTGTAGGAAAGATCAAGTCCTGCCCTCCTCACTTCTAAGAAGCTTTCTGCCAGTACTTCTTCTAGTGCAGATGTGTTTCTTCTTTTGGTAGGCCATGATAGTTTTCAGTATTCTTAGCTAATACCATAATTCAAATGCATTGATTCTTCTTTTGTCTTACTTTCACATATATGTGTATATATGAGGCGACAGAAAATATCATGGCTTGGGTCAGATGCACCTTAGTCCTCAAATTGACATCTTTGCTCTTTAACTTTTTTTTTTTTTTCTAATGTTTTATTGTGAATTATGTGATAGTTTACATGGAGAACATTAGTTTTACATTCATTCTGTCATATATCGTTTCATTGCCATGGTTGCAATCCCCTCCATGCATCATCAACCAACCAAAGGGTATATATACTCTGCAAGCCTGCCCCACCCCCCCAGTCATCAACACACAGCCCCTCTCCCTCTCTGGATCTAAAGTCACCAGCTGCTCTATCTCTCCACGTCGTCGTCTCTGCCTCCATGTCTGGCATCACTGCTTCTCTGGGTAGGGTCCCGCTCTCCGCTCTTCTCCCTTGATGGTCCAGGGACCTCCGCTCCTAGACTGAAAAGTTAATCACTCCCCTCCTTGTTATAAAATATCTACCTTTACATTTCCAATCCTCACAATCAGTCCTGATAACAATTATTCACTATTGTATCACAAGAGACCTATGTGCATTTCATTTCATCAGCCCTGCCTAGACAGATCGGATACTACTCAGTGGAGATTCTACCTTCCTCCACGCCCTCTGGATCAAGGTTCCCTCTTGAAAGCTTGTAAGCCAGTCACTTCTTGCCTTTGTAGCCCCCGCATTTTGGATAGCCAGTGTCCAAGTTGCCCATCCCTGTCTACTCTGTGTGTGGAGGGGGTGGGAATGATTCTGCTCTTTAACATTTTAAAGAGGTCTTTTTTTAATGTTTTATTGTGGTTTATATGATAGTTTACATGGGAGAACATTAGCTTTACATTCATTCTAACGTGTATCGTTTCATTGCCTTGATCACAATCCCCTCTATACATCATCAAACAACCAAAGTATATACCCCGCAAACCTGCCCCTCGTTCATCAGCAAACAGCCCCTCTCCCTCTCTGGGTCTAGAGTCCCCAGCCACTCCATCTTTCCACGTCAATGTCTTTGCCTCCATCTCTGGGTAGGGTCCCGCATTCCCTCTTCTCCCTTGAGGGCCCTCTGCTCCTGACCTGCAAAGTCAACCACTTCCTTCCTTTTGCTACAAAACGTCTACCTTTACATTTCCAACCATCAGAATCAGTCCTCATATTAATTATTCACAATTGAACCACAAGAGTCCTAGTACCATCTCCTTGCATCAGCCCCGCCCAGACCGATTGTATACTTCTCAGTGGAGATTCTACCTCCCTTTGTGCCCTATGGATTTAAGCTCCTTCTTGAAAGTTTATAAGCCAGTCACTTACTGCCTTTGTGGATACTCTCCTCTCCCCACCCCCACCCCCATTTTGGGTAGCCAATGTCCAAGTTGCCCATCCTTGTCTACACTGTATATGGAGGGGGTGGGAATGGTCTTCGTTATAGAGATTTGTTCCCTCTTTTGATCTACTGCATCCCTAGGTGTAGGTCAAGTTCATCAAATTGTAGCAGATTTTTGCCTCTTCTTTCTTCTTTTAGTTGAGCTCTGATCATCCAGCCATTGAAGCCAGGTCAAGTGGGTACTATCTGCAAGTGTGTGTGTTCTTGTGCACATGCCCTCTCTTCTTATCAGCTGGACGCTTCACTCTCCACTCTAGTCCTCTGTGGCTAGGTCACTGACTCTGGGTACAGGACTCCCCAGGTCTTACCATACTGCTGGCCAACAAGGTCTCCATCTGGGTTCATAGGAGTCTATTGAATGTGGTTGGACTTAGCTCACAACTTCATTGCTGTTTTTCCCTTATCAGTGACCAATGTGGTCACCAGTCAGAGCACGTGTCTACTCGTGTATTCCCGTTGAGTCTCAGTCTTGGAAGGGGGTTTGCCTTGAGGGGACCCGACTGCTTGCCTTGATGTCTCCTGGGTGAGCAAGTTGCTTGTTCTTGTAGTAATCAATTGGACTGCCATTATTGTTTTGTATTTTTCCTGTCAGTTTTTCTTTCAAGAAGTATCTTCTGTTCTAGCCACTCCAGGCTGGTCTGATTGTCCTTCCCAGTGGAAATTTCCCACTTCAGAAGATTCTGGATGGGGTTCAGGATTCCACCTATGGTCTTATGCAATGCAGAGGCTCCGCAGGCTGTCTCCTTCACTGGGTATTGAAGAGGTCTTTTGCAGCAGATTTGCAGAATGCCATATATTGTTAAGTTCCTTGTCTGCTGCATTTGTGAGCATAAGAGCCTTTTGTACGTCAGTTATGATGTGTGTGGATGCAGAAAGGCTGATGCCATAGGGAGGAAACGGGGAGGAGCCAGGCCAGCTCTCAGCCCTGTGATGCCCATAGGGAGGAAACGGGGAGGAGCCAGGCCAGCTCTCAGTTCTGTGATGCCCATAGGGAGGAAACGGGGAGGAGCCAGGCCAGCTCTCAGCTCTGTGATGCCCATAGGGAGGACATGGGGAGGAGCCAGGCCAGCTCTCAGCTCTGTGATGCCCATAGGGAGGACACGGGGAGGAGCCAGGCCAGCTCTCAGTTCTGTGATGCCCATAGGGAGGAAATGGGGAGGAGCCAGGCCAGCTCTCAGCTCTGTGATGCCCATAGGGAGGACACGGGGAGGAGCCAGGCCAGCTCTCAGCTCTGTGATGCCCACCAAGACTGTGTGCTGCCAATTCTCATGCTTTTCAATTTGTGGTTACAAAATGGCTGCCACTGTTGGGACAAAACAGGTGCAAATTGGTGACGAAGGACCTTTGAAATGGATCTGTTGGTTCATGTTTCCTAGGAGACCTTCTCCCAACAGCTCATTGACAGTTCTCTCATGCTGCTGTAGCAGAAACGCTACACTGAGCTCTGAGTGTCTCTAACAAACAGAAGTGCGTTCTCTTGCACCTTACTGGGCTCCAAGTCCAAAGACAGAGTCTTGACTCCCCTGATGTAAAGGACATGCCCATGGCTCGTCTTTTTTGGTGTTAAGTCCCTTCTCTCTCTGCTTGCTTCTCTTTTCTTGGGTCTTTTAGAAGATAAATAGACGGTATTACGACTTACTGCTGTTCACATAATTTCCCATCATGAGGGATGATGACATCTGTACATGACCATCAAAATTCTGAGAATCTGGCCCAGCCAAGTTGTTACTTGTTTTAGAGGGACACAGTCCAACCCCTACGGTTTTCAGAGTGTGAGGCAATAGACAGGGAGGCCGGAAGTTTTCTGCGGTCCTGTGAGGTCTTTGCCAGCCAGCCTCCTTAAGAACACTGTTCTGATACATTGTTCTGACTTCCGTGGGACACGCATTAAAGGGCTCCATAGTTGCAAATGGCTATGGACATTGATCACCACACAGGTCCTCACCCACTTCTTGAGATGAGAGGAGCAGCTCAGAAAAAACCGGTAACAGAAGGTTCCTACCAACCCACCTCCTGATACCATCTAAGCTGTTATTCAGCTGAATTCTTTCCATTTTAATCTCATTATCTCAAGCCTGTGAGTGAAAGAAAGATGTAAAATATCAAGCTGGAACATACCACATACACCTTTAAGATACGTTTTCTTAGGTTGTCATCATGTGTGACAACTAATTTGGCCTCAGATGGTTGGTGTTTCACTCAGAATGAACAGACCGTCTGGTTTTCTCTTCTGCAGGCCTCCCCTCCCAGGGATGTGATCCTGCTGCAGCAGATGAGGAAGCGTCCAACCTTGTGTCTGCACTTCCTGGCAGAGAGGATGCACCGTCATCTTTGTCAGAGACCAAGGGTCAGGGGGAATGGGAGCCTGCCAGAAAGAAGATGAAAGCAGGTAAGGACTGGCAGTGTTGTGGGTCTTTTGGCTTCATGCGCACCAGGAACACGTCGTTAGAAAATAGGGCATGATTGCTTCATTACAGAGCTACCAAATTCTATCACTGCATGATTGCCAGCCGACTGCCCAGCCAAGTTAGAACATACCCTTAACCATCACAGCCAGCACCTCAGTGTTGCTCTCTGCCAGATGTACATCAGTAATGTGCAAATCATTGGCTAGCAGACTTTGTACTGTTGGCCATAAACATGAAACGCTGGATAATGAGATCATCTGTGAGTGAGGAACAGGTGTCTCTTTTCTGTAAGTGGTCGCCCGAAGCTTCCCCTTAGAGGGACTAGTTAAAGACAGTGTGCACATTGGAAACCAAAGTTAAGAACGTAATTACGTGGAATGTACGGGTACACCAGTGGCTGTGCAGCAGGCTGGCGAGGAGCCAGCTAGGCCGACGCAGTATCATGAGGGGGGCGCAGGGCCGGGCGGTGTGTGCTCTGCTGGGTATACAGCTAACAACAATAACAATTGTTTTAAAGCAAAACAAGAATTTTGGAATGTGACTCTTGGATTTTGGGCCTGTGTAATGTACATGTGCATGACCAAGCCTTTCTCTGATTTTGTTGACGGTAGCAGCCTAAAGAGTTTCTGGGTCTGCAGATCCCTGGTGGAGCAAACGTTAAGAAGCTCGACTCCTAACCAGAAGGTTGTTGGTGGTTAGAGCCCACAGCTGCCCACTGGGGTAAAGATGCAGCATGTACTTCCATAGTGATTGACAACCTAGGAGCCCTACAGGGTCCGTCTGCTCTGTCCTTGTCAGTCAGGTAGACACCACAACAATGAGTATTTGGGGGTTTGCAGGCTACGACGTTCATGAAACAAAAAGATAAATGCTTACTTCCTCCCAGTTGGCCTAACCCTGCCCTGTCCTCTTGCAGACGGGGAGCCTGGTCTGAGCAGGTTGCTGGGAGCACAGCCATGTGAGGATGCCGCATCCAACCACGAGGCTTGCCGAGCTGCAGCTGTGAAACCAGACAGGATGGAGGAGACACTCACCTGCATCATCTGCCAGGAGCTGCTGCATGACTGCGTGAGGTATGTCGTCCACCCAACACGGAGGGTCAAGCTGTGGCCAAGGGGAACTTTAACAGCATGCTCGAGATCGAGTTTTCTGACGTGACCATTTATAGCATCTTCAGTGTTTGCTAAACATAGAGTAAGGACCCCAGGAATGATAGCTCAGGAAGAACCACCGCCTCGCCCCTTCTGTGGAAGTGTGAGAGTTAGTTGTGCTCTGCGTGAGTTGTAACTTAAGTGAAGAGCTTTTCTGTGATCTGTTAGTGTCTCCATTCCTTCTGCTCCTGAAGTTGCCCCCTGCCTTCCCAGCCCTCCGAGAACTCATGGAGCCCTAATTTCCTCGAATTCTCCGGACAGGATTGCAATATTTTCAGGTTGAATAATGTGTGTTCCTAGAAGCACCCTGTCTCAAAGTAGCTGAGGACGATGGTTTTCTTGATCCCATGGTTGGATCATGGTGGCAGCGCCATTGGTGTGCGCAACCACAGCGCAGTGCCGCTGCGTGAAAACCGATGGTGCTGCCCCTCCTGCCTGTCCGCCCTTAGTCGAGAGAGCTCGTAGGCTGTTTCCTTGTTTATTTTGTTACCAAGCCTCAGCCTGACAAAGTCCACCTCTTCCTCCAGAGGAGAAGGCCTCATGAGCCTTAGGGTCCTACATTGTCTTTGGTTCTCAGGAAGTCCACATTTGGGACTGTGACATGCTTACAGCTGCAGAATTTAGACTACTGTCCCACTAGTAGAGCCGTGTTCCCCAATAACACTCCCCGACTGCACAGAAGACTGCAGAACCCTCCCCCCCCCCCATTTGCACACAGGAGAGTGCAGCACCCCCTTTGTGCTTCTAGCCTGCAGCCCTGCATGCACACCTTCTGTGCCGCCTGCTACTCAGGCTGGATGGAGCGCTCGTCACTCTGCCCCACCTGCCGCTGCCTGGTGGAACGCATCTGCAAGAACCACATCCTCAACAACCTGGTGGAGGCCTACCTCACCCAGCACCCAGGCAAGCCGGGCCATCAGGTTCATGGGGCTGCCTGCTGCATGCCAGCACATGCCCTCCCTGAACAGCTCCTCTGGATTACAGATAAGGGCCGCACGGAGGAAGACATACGGAACATGGATGCCAGGAACAAGATCCCTCAGGACATGCTGCAGCCCAAGGTCAGGAGGTCATTCTCCGATGAGGAGGGCAGCTCGGAGGACCTGCTGGAGCTGTCCGACGTCGACAGCGAGTCCTCAGATACGAGGTGAGCACAGGGGCGGCTGGGACACTAGGCAGAGATGGTGGCGTGTTGGTCTGGCCCAGCTGGGGCCGTCACTGTCAAGGTGTCTATCTGGCACGGCCCTGGAATGAATCCCAGAGTGGGGAATATGGACAGGGGGAAGCAATTCTACCAGGGGGAAGCAATTCTACCACCTCAGACACATCAGGTGACAGAACTAAGTAAGCGAGGCTAGATCTGAGAAGGAAAGCGGTTAAGGTTAGGCAAATGCCAGGCGTGGAGAAGGCAGAGATAGAGTTAACTTAATGGCGTTAGCAGAAAGGTCCCAAGCCTGGCGTGCTTTTCTGAGAGACCTGAGTCTTAAGTGTGTCCAGGAGCTAGGCCTGAGCCCCACTGCTCAGCCTGTGTTGGAGGTCCCATCTGCTGCTTTGCTTCTCTGCAGTCAGCCGTCCATCGTGTGCAGACAGTGCCCGGAATCCAGGACGCAGTCACAGCCGCTGCCCTGCCCCGGACCTGAGAGTGATCGGGAGGCCCCGTCCACATCTGCCCGTCTCCCAGCAGGTGAGCCACTAGGTGTGACACCCACACCTGCGCTCCCACCCAGAGTGGCTCCTCAGGTGACACCTGTGAATCACCCTGATCTTAACGCTGGTCATCAGTTATTACTGTGTTGCTCTTCTATGTCTGCTCACGGGAAAGATGCTGAACAGGACCTAACTTGGTTTCTGTGTCACGGGTGGCTACTTTTCACAGTTCTCAGGGCCCAAAAACCCAATAACTGTGTTTACTTAGAAATTTGGTCAGGCGCATGCAGAGCTCCTGGGCCACGCCAACCACAGTTCTGCCACTGATGTCTGAGGTTTTTTCTCTCTCTCACTTGAGTAGAGATAAGTATGTAACTTGCATTATTTTATAACACAATTTATAGGCCTAGTCCTTTATAGGAAATACTAGAAAACCTTTGACTTACCTCTGAGATCCTGTTAACAACCACTAAACTCAAACATTCTGGATTGTTGTGAAATGCTGCTGAGTCGTTTCCAACTCAGCGACCCTATAAAGCGTTTCCAAAGAGCGGCTGGTGGGTTTGAACCACCGACCTTGTGGTTAGCAGTTCAGTGCATATCCTATTCATTGTTTCTGGTTATTCTTCAGTCTGTTGACAACTACTTTAAGTGGTTAACCACCATTCGGCCATTGACGACACCCCATCTGTGTTCTCATTTTACCTTCCCCTGACATCTCTCTCCTGATACGTGTTTTTTTCTGGACACCGGTAACCATCCTCCTCCACCGCAGCCCAGGATTACGTGTGTCCAGCACAGGGGAGCCACGTTGTCTGTACCTGTTGCTTCCAGCCCATGCCTGACCGGAGAGCAGAACGCGAGCAGAACCCCCAAGTCCCCCCACAGCAGTGTGAGTGCCGAAGCCTGAGACCTGACCCTCTGCTGCTCACCATCCTCATTTCACCTCCACTCTCACTTCCCATGCCTCACCTACGTCTCACCCTCTGCACCTCACCTACCTCTCACCCTCCGCACCTCACCTACGTTTCACCCTCCGCACCTCACCTACGTCTCACCCTCCGCACCTCACCTATGTCTCACCCTCCGCACCTCACCTACTTCTCACCCTCCGCACCTCACCTACCTCTCACCCTCCACGTCTCAGTCTCTAGGTCCTGGGGCCTGAGCTTCCATATGTGTGAAGTGAGGCTCTGGCCTGTCCCTCTAACCTGCACGACCAGGTGTCCCCACATGGCAACAGGACATGGTCCATTCTCCCCAGTTGGGAGTTTCCACAGGTGCTGGATTTCTCTTCCTTGACCTGAGCTGCATCCGCTTTGTAATGCACCACAGATGTAAGAGCTGACCTGTGGGTCCTTGTTTGAATTTGCAGTTTTTCATCCCTGTCAGATTCAGCTTTTCATTTACTTAACGGAGATTTGAATTCATTCCTTGTTGAGATGTCTGCTCAAATTCTTTGTACTTTTTTTTACATGGAAGGAATTTTTTTCTTATGGATGTACTGAGGGGTTTTTCTTCTCGGTTTTATACTTCTTGTTCAGTATATGCACAGCAAAGCATACACCAGTTTCAGTTTCACAGTTTTGACACGTACGGTGCAGTGACCTCGGGCAGCCTTCTTAGCCTCCCTTTCTGAGATGTCACTCCATCATCAGCATCAATGCCGCATCTTCTAAAGTGCCTGTCTAATCTCTCAAATTGCTGCTGGCTCCTGCTCAAGGCGGCCCTTTCTCCACGAGTTATGAAAACTACTCAGTCTTCAGGGACTCTAAGAGAATGCAGCCGTTGTCACAGTCAGTAATGGAACACGAATATTTAGCTGAAGAGAAATCAGTCATGATTCAGGGAACTGCCAGAAACTCAAGCTAGATTGTGGTCACCAGAAAACAGGCTCCCCTTGTGCCCTGTCACACATCCTGAAGAAGCCTGTATCTGTCACAGAGCCACTCGGCCTGATGCTGTCCTCTGCCCCTACCCAGGTACTGCCTGCCTGCAGCCCTTCTGCCACCTGTACTGGGGCTGTGCCCGAGCCGGCTGCTTTGGCTGCCTGGCCCCACTCTGTGGTAAGGTTGCCCTCTGCCCACGTCTGTCTTCTGTGTTCTTTCTCAGGGACTGAGAGGTGGGTGGGGCCCTGGTCACCACCATGAGGAATGGGCAGGGCCTTGATTTGCTTCTGTTTTAGAAGCATCAAACACCTGTGAGCTGAGAAGTAAGCGGGGTAAGCACTGCATTCACAGTGGGAAGCTGAATTGCTCCGTAGGCTCAAGCACAGGCCAGGCCCTCAGGGCACTTGTTCTGTTTAAGGTTGTTTTACCTACAGCTTCACTCCTCCTAGAATCGGTAGTTGAAGGAGAATGTGGTTATCTATCTTAACTGCCAGGCAAGTAAGACTTTCATAAATATTCTTATGTCAACAGAGCTCAACCTTGGGGACAAGTGTCTAGACAGCGTGTTGAACAACAACAACTATGAGTCAGACATCCTAAAGGTACCATGTGTGAGAGCCCACGAGGCTTAGGGGAAACCGAGCAGAGATCCTCAGTCACTCATGTTTCTCTTTGCTTGCGGGGCTCTGCTGGACCTCCATGAAGCTCTCCAGCCCCCTGGGTGGCCCCCTGTTCCTCTGTGCCTATCAAGCATGAATCCACAGAAGTTGGTTCTTATGATGCCGACTCCTGCTTGCCCCTCTGCTGCGTTTTTACCAGCTTTCCTTTTTCTAAGCAGAGACTCACCTTTCAGAAAGGCAGAGTGCCCTCTCAGAGGACAGCGAGTCTGTCAGAGTAGTTCTGCAATTTCAGCTTCAGCAGACCCTCATCACGGCGGCCGTTCTCTAACCTCATACCCCTGCTGACTGCCTCTTCTCCCCATCACAGAATTACCTGGCAGCTAGGGCTTTCACGTGGAAGAACTTGTTGGCAGAGAGCCTGGTGGCTCTGCAGAGGGGGGTGTTCCTGCTGTCAGGTAAGCATCGTCCTGCCCACAGCCTCTGGGGTTGGGCTTCCTGCCAGTGTCTGCAGTGGAGTAGAGCAGTGAGCCCGTGCTGGCCTATACTCACACTGCTGCCTGCCTGTCTCCTGCGCTTGGTCACTTTTGACTCTTCACACCTGGGAAAGAGATACAGAACGCTGACAGAACCTCTGAATTTCTAAAGAAAACTGAGCTTAGACTCTTTCTCATCTCGTGAGGCAGTGACTTCACCCCATGTCAGCTCTGAGTTCTGGGGCTAAATGTGCCCAAGTCACATGGCACACCAGTCACCAGAGGGACAGGATCAGCCCTTCATGTGGGAGGTGTGCACACAGCGTATACAGGTTTATCATTAAGGCAGCAGGCTAAGGAATAGATGCAAGGCCCACCAGGAGTCCGCAGACTTGGCCTCTGTCCTGGGCAGTGTGGTGAACTCCATGCCTCAGTGTCAGCGTCTTCTAGACGGGTTTTAATGCTTTCTCTTTTTAGTGGCCAAGTCAGTTGAGAATTACGTGACTCACCAAATTTAAAAAAAAAAAAAAAAAAAAGTCAAGTGGTAAGGAAAGTGGGGAGAGTGAAATTCATCAGCAGCCCATCACCTGGAAATATACAGAAGCTGCAGTGACATGCACTGACACCCACCCAGTCTCTGGAAGCTTGTACACCGCATGTCATCTCAGCTTCCTAACTGGAATCCCACTTTACTTTGGTTGTGACCTAAGTTTTACCAGTGTGTCGTGACCCTCCTCTCCCGTCCCCCCAACTCAACTGTGCCTTTTGTGTCGTTGAATTTTTTTTTTTTTTTTAACTTTTTATTGTGAATTGAGTGAAGGTTTACAGAGCAGATCATCAGGTTTACATTCAACAGACTGTATTTTTTGCTTCCTTAAGATAATTTGCAATCTCCTCCATGTATCTTGGGCTACCAGAAGAAAGAATAAACCGGTCTTGAAAGCAGTAACAGCCAGAATGCTCTTTAGAAGGGAGGGTGGTCACTCTCTGGGTCCCACATGAGTCTGTGTTCCTTCCAGACTACAGGATCACAGGAAACACAGTGCTGTGCTACTGTTGTGGCTTGCGTAGCTTCCGGGAGCTGGCCTACCAGTATCGCCAGAACATTCCTGCTTCTGAGCTGCCGGGTAAGAAGATCCTCTCACCACCTCCGTGATTCACCTTCAACACAGCCCATGGTGCTTGCTGGGGGTGGGGAGAGGGCAGCAGAAGGGTGCAGCTGACCAGGGAGGATACCTGCTGGGCCTCAGTGCAGATGACTAAGGCGAAAGACATAAGCCATCTGATACCCACCAAGGGACAGGCTGTTTGCTAATGTCGAGGCAGCGCAATTTATGAAAACAAAAGTGCATGACCGCATTCTGTGGGCACCCGGACTAATTTCATTTCCTAAACTGAGTTTTGAAGCAAACACTTCTTTCATTTTTCACAATTTTGCACAACCTATGGGGATTTCAGGTAGTCCCTGACTTCTGACAAGGTTCCAGCCCAGTGATTCCATCGCAAGTCAGTTCAGACTGAAGTCCAGTAGCTCCCTTTTTTTTTTTTTTAATTAATTGCCAAATTTTCATAAATCTGATCTTTTTTTGTCTTTGAGGTTTGGAAACTTAAACACACAATAATTTATGACACCCATATGGACAAAAATGATACAAAAATTAACTTGGATGATGAGAAAGGGTCGGACATTGTTGGCCTTTTTGTCATTTGTAGTTATCACTATGGAAGGTTCTGGGTCGTCGAGATTATCCTTGGGGATGAGGTTGCCTTTTCTGTCAGGAAACAGGGAGAGTCGTCTGGTCCTTTATTTTTTGTCATTTATTTTGAGATGACGTTTGCTTCTTGAATCTGCATATCAACTTTAGCCAAACTATCAGCCATTGGGTCCATGTTTTCAAGCAACAGAAGGCCCCTGATTTAGTTTAAGGAAAACCTGAAGCTAAGCCTTTTCTTATAAGTATTTTTAAAAACATCTTCCTCTTCGGCATTATCTCTTCTTTTGCATTTCTCTCCTCTTCCAAATTAAGTCCTGATCTCTTGATTTCCCTATGGCTTATGAGCTGTTCCACATCAGTGATACTCAATTCTGAATTCAGTGTTGTTGCCAGATGGGCAGTTTCCCACTGATCAAAGACTTGATGTGTGTTCACGTAACTCAGCAGCTTCCCCACATCTCTTGCATACATTTTCCTGTAACTTCCTCCTAGCCAGATGCAATGTTCCAGAAACTCTGATGCTTGTAAATGCACTTCACTGTAACTAAAGCAGTGTCCTAAGTTGGGAACTGCCTATAGTTTAACTGCATTTTAACTGCAGTTTCTTTTTTTTTGGCTTTACTTAAATTTAGTGAAGGAACTCTGGTAGCGTAGTGGTTACGAATCGGGCTTCGAACCTTAAGGTCAGTGGTTTGAAACTACCAGCCGCTCCGCGGGAGAAAGATGAGGCTTTCTACTCCCGTAAAGATTTACACCCTTGGAAACCCTGTACAGGGTCGCTATGGGTCGGAACCAACTCGAAGGCACTTAACAACAACAAATTTAGTTAGCTGAACTTGTGTATGATTGTAGATGTTACCAATATTTTCTTTTTGTTTTTCCCTTTTAGTGGCTGTAACATCCCGTCCTGATTGCTATTGGGGTCGCAACTGCCGAACTCAGGTGAAAGCTCACCATGCCATGTGAGTGAACAGATACGGGCCAGGGCAAAGGGGGGCAGTCAGCAACAGGACTGTGTCCAGGAAGGCAAGCTCACTTTCCGGGTTTTTTTTTTTAAGCCTTTTGAGATAAGGATATAAAACATATATCCCTTAGCTTTTACGGATATACCTGAATAGTCCAAGCTACACTGAAGGCATTGGCAAAAACAAGGCTCCAGGAGTTGATGGAGAACCAAGTGAAATGTTCCAACAAACTGGTAAAGCACTGGAGGCATTCACTAGTCTGTGTCAGGGAATTCGGAAGACTGTTACCTAGCTAGTCGGTATCAAGAGACCTATGTTTGTGCCCATTCCAAAGGAAGATGACCAAATGTAGGTATTATTGAACAGTATCGTTAACATCATACACAACTATAGGTTAGCTGCAAATAATAAATGGTTGTCGCAGTACATTGACAGATAGCTGCCAGATATTCATGCCAGATTCAGAAGAGAACAAGGAACAAGGGATATCATTGCTGACATCAGATGGATCTTGTCTGAAAGCAGAAAGATGTTGACCTGTTTTATTAACCATGCAAAGGAATTTGACTGTGTATATCATAATAAACTATGAATAACATTGTGAAAAATGAGCATTCCTGAATACTTTATTTTGCTCACGTGGAACCTGTACCTAACTAAGATGAATGTGTTCAATTAGAACAAGGGTATATTGCATGGTTCAAATTCAGAAAAGGTGTACACCAGGATTATATCCTTTTACCGTACTTATTCAACCTGTATGCAGAGCTGATAATCTGAGAAGCTGGGTTATAAGAAGAAGAATGTGGACTCAGGATTTGAGCAAGACTTATTAACAACCTGCGATATGCCCATGACAGAATCTTGCTTGCTGAAATCAAAGAGAAATTAAGTACTTACTAATGAAGATAAAAAATGGCAGACTTCAGTATGGATTGCACCTCAGTCGAAAGAAAATGAAAATCTTTACAACTGAACTAGTTAACATCATGATAAATGGAGAAATGATTGAAGTTTTCACAGATTTCATTTTACTTGGGTCCACAATCATTGCTCATGTAAGCAGCAGTCAAGAAATCTAAAGACACATTTCACTGAGTAAATATTCTTTTAAGTGTTTTTGAAGAGTAAAGATGTCACTTTGAGGACTAGACTGTACTTGGCCCAAACCATGGTCTTTTCAGTGCTTCATACATATGTGACAACTGGACAGTGAATAAGGAAGACCAGACAAGAATTGATGGATTTGAATTCCAGTGTTGGTGTGGGTTGTTGGATAAACAAGGTCAGTGGTTCAAACTCAGCAGCTGCTCCTCAGAAACCCTGTACAGGGTCACTGTGGGTCAGAGGTGATTCGATGATATTACCAAGGAGAATATTGAAAGTACGTTGGCCTTCCGGAATAACAGACATCTTTCAAGGAAGAAGTGCAAGCCAGAACAATGTTCCTTGGAAGCAAACATGGTAAGACTTCCTCTCACATAGTTTGGACATGTTACCAGGAGGGAGTAGTCCTTGGAAAAGGACATCATGCTTGGTAAAGTTGAGGACAAAGAGAAAGACCATCAACGAGGTGAACTTACACAGTGACTGCCACTCTGGGCCCAGACCTAACAATGGTGAGGATGGCACAGGACTGGGCAAGGTGCCATTCTTTTGTGTGTGGATAGAGTCACTGAGTCTGAGTCGACTCGACAGCACCTCACAACAACAACAACAACAGCCTGAAAGAGTAAGCAGTCTGTTTATACTAAGTAAGCCTTTATGCTTCTATAAAGTCATACATTTTATAAAACAGCAGAACATTGAGAAACACTGCTGTTTTTGATACCACAAAATGCTTGCACATAGATGCTCAGCAACATCAGCTCCACGTCCATTCATGAGTCATGCTACCAGTCCTCTGATGTCGTTTCTGTGTTGGATATGTGGCAGGCGTGAACCATGTTTGTGATCACTGGGGATGTCCATTGCAAGCCACAGGACCCACTAGTAGCGTCAAGACCACTCATGGTTTTTCATCCGTGAGTGTGTGTGTATGATTGCTGTGGTATGATCATGTGTTCAGGTCTTCAGTGTGGACTTCCAGAGACTTGTTCACACTCAGGTCTCACTGCAACTGAGACATCACGAATCTGGGAATCACTTCCATGTCCATTTTTAAACAGTGAGTGAGTAAGTGAGCTGTGAATATCCAAAACATCCACGGCTCAGTGGTGTTTGAGACTATTAAGAGTCACCAGACTGCACCTTGTAGTTAGAAATAGAGCGATGTGTGTGTGAGGTGTGAGTGGACAGCAACTTGTGAGAGAAGAGCTGTTGAGTGTGAGCAGAGTATGGAAGGCCGCGTTTTGAGTGTGAACAGAGTGTGGAAGGCCCCATTTGTAAGGAAGGGACTTCATTCGTAAGTGATGAACCTTTCTAATAACATGACGAATATGTATGTGATGGGGCCGTCCCTGAGCCTTCCTATGTGGATTGCACCCATTTCTGTGTTGTTCATGGAGCGAAGGCGAAACTACCCCAGTACCCATAGTCAAGTCATCCTCACAAGGGTGTCAGGAACCTATAGTGCCCAGGGACACTCCTGTTGTTGGCCTCAGCTTTGCAAACTCTTCTAGAAAAGTCCCTAAAGTGTGTTGACTTGTTTTTTAAATTTAAGAGAGGAAACAGAAGGCTGCCTCTGGGAACGAGTTTCTGTGAGAGTATTCAATATACACAGTTTCTGCATATACACACAGAGGTTATAAAGCCGTATATAGATCTCCCAGTATGCTTTCCGTGTTGCATGGATTTGAGTAGTTATCTGATGCCCTTTTTGTGTAATTGGACTGTTTTCTCTTTGCAGGAAGTTCAATCACATTTGTGAACAAACACGGTTCAAGAACTAAACATCAGGTGAAGCGCCCAAATGACTGGCAAGCTTAAAGGTTAAAGGAAGATGTTTTTCGAAGACTACACTCCGAATGCAAGCATCCTAAGGGCGTTTTCTTGGTTCCCTTCTCAGGAACTCTGGTGTGACTCTCTTCTGTTTGTAGAGTTTTGCCCTCAAGTGAGACCTTCCCAAGTGGTCACATGCCCTGCCGGCACAGCTGTCTTCCCAACAAGGTGCTTGTCCCCAGCACAGTCCAGGGCCTCGGCCTGTGCCCCAGGGAGGTCCTAAGAGCTATCTGTTGGAAAACGCCATTCCTCCTACACAAATGACAATAATGAGGTTTCTCTATTTTTTTTCCACAACTGTGGTTGTGCTCTCATAGGAGAAAAGGGAAGCTTATCTCAGACAGTTTTGTTTAAGGAAAAGAGGCGAGAATTTATAGGCTGTTGGGTGCCCAGTATATTCTGTGGGAAAACCACAGCATTTTATACAGTTTTTATTTTAATAGGTTTGGTGCTTATCTTCTAACAAGATTTAAATATCATGATGGTAGTACAAATAATATAATTCATAATTTATAAATTGAAATTGGGGTTAGTATGGTATTTGGAAGAATAAATGTATGTTGCTGTTTTAAAACAAAACAAAAAAGATCAGAAGTTAAAAATTGCTGACCTTAGAGCACCCAGCCTTAAGTTAGCGGCTTTGCTCTCAGACCAGTGTCAGCCCATGGGCTGCTCTCCCACACGCAGTTGACAGTGTGGCAAGGCATCGGAGCTTCAGGGAGCTCCGGGGCCAAGTTCTCTAATTCTGCTATAGCCAGAAAGCCTGTCCTTGGGAATATCATAATTTGTATTCCCCCTTCATCACTAGGGCCATTGAGGCCATAGGTGAACCACAGCCAATCACTGGGAAGGTGCAGGACAGGGCCACAGCACCAGCTCCGGGCTCCCCTGTGACCTCGGCTCGGTGCTCTGCCCCTCCCAGGCTCCACAGCCCATGGACAGAGCACCTGGGAGTGGCTCATGCCACGACTTTGGCTCCTGGGTCTCTCATCTGTCCTCTGCTGAGTCTCCATTAGGATCGCTGTCTCATCTGGAAAAATACTTGAAATGTTGTTTGTAAAAAAATGGTTTTTTTACCTTTTGTTGAAATCACCTGTTAAATTTTGCTTCTTCTCAGGAATACGATTTTTAACCGTTGTCTTGCTCTTGATGCACGTGCTGGGAAGCAGCTCTGTTTGTGGGAAAGGCCTCTTTGCTTTCTAGGAGCCAGTTGTGTGGTGTATCTTCCTTCACGCACAGGTCATGCCCAACCCGGAGGCTGCACACATGGTGAAGGGTCTGTCCTCCCTGCTGTCTGTTGGCTGACGTGGGGCTCAGACCCTTTCTGCCCAGGGCTAACCCCCTCGCCTGAAGTGTAACCATGCTACAGGTGGACCCTGCTGCCTACCACTGTTCCACCCCACTGGACACATAGCTTCATGTGCTGGGTCAGCCTGTGGACGGAAGGCGGCTCTGAATGATGCACACGCCCCACCTCAGTCCTTGCACAGTTGGTGGGACTGTGTCCAGCCCTGAGCCAGAAGGCAGGCCCCATGGTGGCTGAACAGCAGCATGGTGCCTGTGGGTGACTGGGTAAGGACTCTTGTAGTGTCCGGTGGTTTTCTGTACTTACTGGTCCTCCAACACCCTTCCTTCCCCTAAAGAGAACCTCCATATACTCTCCAAGCCTGCTGTCGGCATCTCCCTCTGTGCCGTCCCCGCTGCACACATGTGGATAGGGCAGCTGAGGGGGCTCTGAGCTGCTGCTCTGAGTCTAAGGACAGACCAGTGATTGGTCGGCAGTAGGCCCTGGCCCATCACATGTCCCCAGCAAGCAGGTGCAGACATGACTGCTGTTATCCTCGGCCTCACCTCCGCTTCTCCACTAGGTTTTAGGGCCCCCTAACATCAGTGCGTCTCACCCCTCACACACAGAACTGCCCCTTCCTGACCAGAAAGGGACCTTGAGCTCCTGATGGGGGCAGGGGCTGCCTGTTTCATTGTCCAGAGACATGCTTTGTGTGGTTGGCAGACCCTAAACAAAAGCAGAAGCGCTGAGTCGTTTGGACCAGCCCTCCCACTGATGAGTCACAGAGGTGACTGAAACTAGGTTTTACCTCTTGAGATCCAGATCAGAGTGCCTGGCATGGTGGCAGCATGGGGTCTAGGTGGTGTGGGACAGCGGGGGAGAAGGGACAGTGGTACTCCCTCTGTGGGTGCACAACTTTGGCAGAAGGAAGGTGAGTCGGACCAGCACAGTGTCAGTGAGGAGGCCCGGGAGACCCCAGGTCCTGGAGCTGAACTGGAGCGGCCTGCTGTTATCACCTCAGTTCTCTGGAGGGAAAACAAAACATGGAGCCTTAAGTCAAGCTACCCCTGTGTCCCCCCT